ATAACAAACTTCTTTATTATTTTATTTTTTTTTTAAAAAATGTCTTACCGACCGAAAAAAAGAAGTAGAGAAGATGACAAAGGGGAGAGGCACTTGGCGGGTAAGTGTTTTAAGGATGGTGGTGGTGGTTATTGCCTGCCACTTGTTGTCACTCTAGTTATATTAAACAACATTGTATTTATTTTTTAGAATATCTGATCAAAAGCCAAATAAAACAAATAGTAATAGTAATATCCTAAAGAAGCTTGGTATGTCTACTATATAATTTTACAACACTTTTAATATTATTTATATTAATTGATTCAATTTATATTAATTGATTCAATTTATATTACATTGAATAAAAGATGATCGTGATGATGGCATTAACAAAGATGTTATAAGTCAAAATCATTTTTTATTTGGTTGATCTCCTCCACCTATACCTGCACCAAAATTTGCCTTTCTACCTTCTTTGAATTCTATGCCAATAAATATATTTAATCTATCTAAAGTTGCTCCTGTCCAGGAAGTAATGAAAGATAATGATATTATCACAAATTCAGATGAAAATGAAAGAAGCACATTACCTCATTTGAGCATAGAATATGTTGGAAATTATGATATTGAAAGTAATATGGAATTGATTAATGACCTAGTTGTTGAAGAAACTGATAATGGTAATAGCTAGGGTTTGTATTCATGGATACCGTAAGGAGGTCACACAGGGTTGCATACTATTAAAATCAAGTGTTTTTAAGGGATTTTTTGCTGATTTATTAGTGTGTAACCCCCTTAATGGTATTCATGGTATCCGTGAATACAAACCCTAGTAATAGCGAACTGGATGAACAAATAATTAATTCTTTTAGCATAGATTCTTGGAAGGAGTGGAAATTGAAGTCTGGTAATAGAGTAATTGATATTTTAAAAAATGCATCTAATCTTAATGGACATAAATTAAGGCAAGTTAATGTTTAATTGTGGTGTGTACTGTATGTTTTCTTTTACTAACATTTTATGACACATTAGACTGGAATGCTCAGGAATAATTCGTTGTGGATATAAAATTGCAGCTCCTAAGTGGTGCTCTAAAACAGATTATCATGAGATTCAACTTACCTGCAAACCACGTGTTTCAATAGCTCCTACAATAATAATGAAAAATCTTCTTAAACTGGTACTTTGTTTAATCTCTACTTTTTGTTTGACTTTGTTTCTTATTATTGTTATAATAAATCAAGTTTAAAATGAAACCATTACAGGGATCTTTAGATGCTATGAATAAAGAATTGGAAACACTTAGACAAAGAGGTCCAGAAGCATCACTTCAAGATCCAATGAATAAATTCTTTTGTGCCATTTTATCAGACTTGTAAGTAGTAGGTTCACTCAATTTAGTTTTTAATAATATTAATGCAAGGTTTATCCATTTGTTAAAGTACTTTTTTTCCATTTTCCATCAGTAATAAGTTTGTATATCCAAACAATGCTTTGATTCAACGTGGAATAGATTCAGAAAGTATATATGGAGTTTATGTTATTCACACTTGTTTTAAAGAACTTTTTCCTGATTTAGAAAATGAAATATTATATAAGCCGTGAGTAGAGATGTTCCAATGCGCATGTCATGTGCATCATGTGCACTGCATTGTGTGCATTGTGCGCATGTAATTTTTGAAATCATGCGCATGTAATTTTTTTTGTACATAGTAATAAATGTAACACAAAAAAAATAAAAATTTTTTTTTTATTATTATCCAAATGACTCAAGAAAATTTTGGTCACAATTACT